ACCCTGTCTCAAAAAACTAAAAAATAAAATAAATAATGGAGAATCCAGAGGGACAAACATGGTACATACTCACTCATAAGTGGATTCTAGATATAAAATAAAGAACAATCAGACTACAACCCACAGAGTCATGGAGATTATATATATGTATATGTGTGTGTGTGTGTGTATATATATATATATATATATACATATATATATCATGGGGGACCCTAGGACGACTGTGGCTTATAATAAGTTTTGGTTTTACTCAATTACTGAGCAAGCCTCAATGAAACATTTCACAATTAAGATGGGAATACATACTGTATCAAGCTGATAATAGAAAGGTGGATAAACTGATTAATTTGAAAAAGTGAAAAATGAAAAAAACAAAAAAGAAAAAGAAAAATTTGAACTGTTTAAAAAGGAGCCAAACAAACATATTTTGCTGGAGTTAAAAAAAATAATAATAATAATGGGGAATCATTTGCCACAGCTGGGAAAGACAGGCATCATGCCATCTGAGGCCAGGCAGGAAGTGCAAGAAAACCTGATGTCAAAGCCAGTGAGCAGGAGGCCAGAAGAGAGGTCACTACAGGCAAGGTGGGCCGGGCGGCATCCGCGGAAGGGCACAGAGGCGGACCTTGGCTAGCGGGGTGCGCTCACATGGAAGGGGAGGCTCTAGTGTCCAGTCCTGGGCATCACTTAGTTCCCAAGGGAGCTGGAAGCACTGTTGGGGGTCGGCAAGGGGCGGGGCAGTTTGAAACAGAAGCAGGTGCCAACATTGATACCGTCACCGGAGCTGCACATTAAGGGAAGTCACAGATGCGGCTTATGTTTTCCCTGGGAGTGTGGCCTTAGCCATATGAATCTCTTCTAAGCATTTCCTAAATTCATTCCAGCTTCCTCTTCTGGACAGATGGTTTTAACTCAGGGCCCCATTTTATGACAGAAAAAAAAAAAATGCTGGACCAGTCAATCATTTGCTATACAAAACCAACAGCCGGGGACCAGATCACAGGGCTCTGACAGACAAAACTAAACTGTTCTGCTCAGGGAGTCAATTGTATGCAGATTTCACTGGTGAACAGCCAACTAGAAGACCTCTTTTTTTTTCCTCCGAGACAGGGTTTCTCTTTGCAACAGTTCTGGCTGTCTTGGAATTCACTTTATAAACCAGGCTGGCCTCAAACTCACAGAGATTCACCTGCCTCTGCCTCCCCAGTGCTGGATTAAAGGCGGGCACCACGATACCCTGCAGAGGCATTTTCAGTACCCATCCTATCCTGAATTACTGCACAGAATAAATGTCCTCAGAAGTCACAAGGAAAAACTGAAAACAGTTTTAAAATTGACAAAATGGTGTGGTGTGGTGGTGGAATCCGGAAGTCCCAGTGCTTGGGAGGTGGGAGCCGGGGATCAGGAATGCAGGGACATCCCAGCTGCATGAGATTGTGTCTCAAAATGACAAAAGTTGACAAAAATGTCTGAATCAATAACTGAAAGAAAAAGGAACCGTGGAAAAGTATTCAGCCTCATGATCAATACAAGAAAAGCCAACGCCGTGAGGTGAGATTCTACCAGCACCCACCTCACTGCCGGAGACTCCGGTGTTAGTGGAGCCAAAGGCAGCCATCTTGCTCCAATAACTGCTCTCTGACCTCTGAAGTGGAAATTACAAGCTTGTTGGTAAAAATTATTATCAGGAAACATTATCATTATGAAATCATTACCCTGAAAAGTCTGTCCCTGAAAATTGTAAGGTATATAGAGTAGGGGCTGGAGGATCGTGTGTGTGTGTGTGTGTGTGTGTGTGTGTGTGTGTGTGTGTGTGTGTGGCAGGTTCCTCGGAGCTGAGTGTGGGTTGGACCTGGGGTTGGCTGAGATGGGACCAAGCTTCCGCGAGGACAGGTGTGGCTCCACCAAGGAAGAATGAGGAAGAGATTTGCCCAAGAACAGGACTCCTGAAGGACAGCATCTCCGCTCTAGAAGAAGGCGCCACATCCAGGCAAACCCAGTACTTGGGGGAGGGACAGGAAGACCAAGAATTCAAAGTTATCCTCAGTTACATCAAGTTCAAGGCCAGCCTGGGCTACATGGGACTTCCACTCAAAGGAAGAGAGAACTCCAGGCTGAGGACAGTTCCTGATGCTTCTAGATTGACTCGGAGTAACCTAGAACGTTCTACTTGAGTCCACATCCCTCCACCCTGATGCACTCAACCTCATTTGATCGCCGAAGCTAAGCAGGGTCAGCCTGGCTTGTACTCGGATGTAAGAACAGCTGTTGAGAGAGGCAAACAGGGCAGTGGCCGCCTGTAATCCCAGCAGCTGGGGGGATGGAGGA